CTCTCCTCTCCTTCACGCTGGCTGTAGTTACTTTCACTGCAAACCTCTTCAGCGTGTCAGAAATCTAAAAGCACACAGGAATGGGGAAAAGACATCAGCGCGCCTTCGGTGTCCACATGCAGAACACAGAACCAGGGCAAGCACAACCAGCACCTGCACAAGCTCTTAATGACCAAATGCAATCAGCTGTGGCCTCATCTAGCAGGGAAAGGCTCATGCAAGTTGCAGCTCCAAGGCCTCCCTGTTAAACTGTAGGATGATGGCTTTCTGCTTGCTAATCTGTAATGGCACCCCTTAAGGTTCATTCACCCTTCTAAAATCACAGAGTGACAAATCAATGCCTGAGAGCACAGGGACCTGAAAAGCCAAAACACAATGCATTTCAAGAATGCAAAGGTACTTTATAGGGGTGTGCTACCTTCTAAAGAACCCCTTAAATGCACTTCTAACTATTGGGGGCCCACCACAGAGTTCACCACACTTCCTAGAACATCGACCTGTGGTTTCTGTCATTGGCTGTGAAACCACTTGCAAGGAATCAGGACCAGAACGCACAACTTGCCTTTATTCTCATCCAGGATCAGCATACACGGCCCAGGAGCTTTGTACACCGGACTCATCAGATTAGAAGAATTTGTGCCTTGCTATAAAATTCCTCCCTTATGCCATCAATAGCACCCAAGCAACACAAAATAAACAGAACTGAATGCCTCTGCATGCCCGCGCTACCGCGGCTGCTGTGTTCCTGTACATGCAGGCTGCCGGGGCCTGAGACAGCTGGCCGAGTGAGACACAAGCCTGAGGCAGCCTTCATGCAGTGCGGATGGGGAGAAAAAACTGGAAGGCAGTTTTGATTCTCAGAGATTTGTTCCTTCAGCTGCTGAAACTGCGCCAAGGAACGTACAAGTTTTAAAATTACGTGTGAGAAAAGGCTTTGTGCAGCCCGACCAGCGCTCAGGATCACAGCCTGCTATGCCCTGCATTCACTTCAGCTGAAACAACGGGGCTCCAGGAAAGGCTTGTAAAATTCACCTCTGAAGCTGAACGACTCTCCAAGCAAAGCGTTACTGGCTTTGTCACAAAGGGCGTTTCAGAAGCACAGGAAACAGCGACCTGAGGAGCGGGGATCGCCTCCGCACTGCCCATGAGCTGCCGCCAGCACAGCCCTCTCGGCGGGGCACAGAGACCGGGCATGGTGGGCGGTCCGTCCCGGAGGAGGGGACGCCGCTTGGCGCCTGGAGGGCATCCCCGGCCCAGCGGGACGGTACCGCAGCCGTAAAGGATCTAAAGATCTCCTTTAGAAGCCTTCAGCCCTCATCCTATGCGAACCAACCGAGCCGCGTTTCCTCGTGCTGCTGAATCAGCAGTGCGGAGACACGCAAACGTGAAAAACCAGTTAATTGTGCCGGCAGCCCAGCCGTGCGGCACCACCGAGGGACTCCGCCGGCAGCGCGGACGGGCGGGAGCGGCATCGGCTGCGGCGCAGGGCTCTTCGTGGGACACCGAGTACGTGTCGGAGCGCCGGGAAGCGCCCACGGAGCAGCGGCGGGACGCGTGGCCCTCGGGCTCTCTGCTGGGAGCCGAGCGGCGCGCCGCGCCCCGCAGAGGCACAGAGCACGGCCGGGCGGGACGCGGCTCCAGCGCTGCCTCCCCTCCCCAACTCCCGGCGGCTCCGGCGCGGCCCTCCCGCCCCCAGCTGACCGCCACGTCCCCGCGGCACTGAGCCAGGCCGCACGGAAGGGCCGAAAGAGGGCGGCGGGGAGAGGCACGGTGAGGCCGAGCCGCGAGGATCTCGGTCGCCACCGCCGGACCGCCGCCGCCACGGGCCCGTCCCGCACCCACCTGCGTGTCGGCCGCCATGGCGCCGCCAGCGCCCCCGGAAGCGCTCCCTACTTCCGGTGCGGCGAGCGCCGCAAGGCACGCCGGGACAGATACAAAACCGCGCCTGGCCACCCCACCCCGCCTGCAGGGGGCGCCTTGCAACAGCCCAGCCCACCCCGCTCCGCCCCGTCCTCCCCGCCTGCAGGGGGCGCCGCACCGCTGCCCGCCCCGCCCCGCCCCGCCCGCCGGAGCACCGAGCACAGCGCCGGGACACGGGACAGCGTTCGGTACAGAGCTTTATTTGCGGCCGCAGGGCCGGCAGCCCGCTAGTCGAAGAGGCCGAAGCCCATGTCTTCATCGGACTCCTCAGATTCCTCCTTCGGCGCCTCCTTGGCCGGGGCAGCAGCAGCAGCAGCAGGTGCAGCTGTTTCAGTGACCACCGGAGCAGCCGCCACGAAGGCGGAGGGGTCGGCCAGGAATGCCTTCACCTGCAAAGGGAAACACAGAGCTCAGGCAAACCGCATGTCTGCCAGGATGGGGCCTTTGCTACCAAAGAAGCAACACTCGCTGCAAGCGCTGTGAGCCCCGACAGCCCCAGAGCCGCGGGTCAGCTGTGGCCGTTACCTTTTCAGCCAGTGGGAAGCTGTAGTCGGTCTCCACCGCCACCGCCAGCACCCGCTTGTACCCATTGACAATGGAGTGGGGCACGGAAGCGATGGTTGGGTACCCGATCTGCAGGCAGACGCTGGCAACGTTACGAACACCCTGCGAGGGAGAAGTTTGTGTCTGTGCAGGGCCAGCACCCAGGCGCCAACCGACAGGCAGTGGCACATCGCACAGAACCCACGTAACACAGCTCCGGTGAACTACACAAGACATCGGAATCTAAACCATCTCCAGACTTTTCTGAAGCCTCTTCCTGATTCCACACGTGCTTCACTGTCTTAACATGTTCATCGATTCCACACACCTCAGTTAATGAAAGATATGGTATATTTTCTCTTGCTTCAGCCAAAACAGCCAACAGAAGGCACTCCTTGGCCAACCGTTTCTCCAGGACACCTGGGAGAGCTCCTGGCTCTGCAGCACTGCAGAAAACACCAGAGGCAACACTCCGCCCTGGGACAGGGCCTCCTGCTCCTTTTCTGCCTGCAGTGGAAGAGCTGAACATAATAATAAACAGGGGCTGTAGCACTGACCTCCAGGAAACGCTTGTGCAGGGTCTCCTCGGTGATGTCCAGCACTTCAGGGTTGTAAATGCTGCCATTGTCAAAGACCTGCTGGATCACCAGTCCAAAGGAGAAGGGAGAGATGTTCAGCATGTTCAGCAGGGTGGCTTCGCTGGCACCCACTTTGTCTCCGGTCTTAATGAGCTGCACATCACTCTGAGAAAAGAAGAGGAAAAATGAGTGAATACACCCTGAGATATTCAGGTAAACCAATACAGCAGCACACAAAAGTATGTTCCTAATGACAAGAAATGGAACTGAAGTAATAAAGGAGCACAAGGAAAAGACACTGAAAGTTCACCTCCACAAGCTAAGGCCTCATGAGCAAGTGCTGCTCAACAGGAGGAAAGCAGTGCCTTAACTCGTCTCCTTACAGATCATTAATCCTCCTCACAGCTGGGAATTGATGGAGGAACTTAAACCCATGTCCCACTCCACCACCAAACTGAACCAAGCCCAAAACGAAGCAGTGAGACTGCTAAAACGGCATCTCATTACAGACGGAATCATCAATCCTTGCTCCTGACCAGAATTTCAATGGTCCCTCTGGAAATCTTTGTGGTGATGCCCAAGGCCTGGAAAAATGAGGTCTTCTCAGGTCCGAGACCAGTGTTCTGGGCGGGCACAGTCACATCACAGGGAGCAATCGCACCAGCACGAGCAGCTGCTGGCACCTGCAGGAAGAAGAAACAAGGAGAGCTGTCGGAGGAGTGCTGACCTCTCAGGGGCATCAGCCTCATCCCGATGTGCTCCAGCAGGATGGACGTCAGCTGGGCACGCACAAGTGAGATGGAATTAAACACGGCTGAGTCACCCACATCTGGAGGGGCTACCAACCACCAGGTAACCCTGACAGCTCTGTATTATCTTTAACTCAGCAACCGCCAGCCCCGGCACTGCGAGGTCCCACCCCGTACCTTGTTGGCCAGCAGCATGTCCCGGATCTCGGTCAGATCCTCCTTGGTGAAGACAAAGCCCACGTTCCCACGGATGTGAGGCAGCAGCCTGAAGGAAAGCAAAGCGTTCAGCCCCGCTCCTCACACGCATCCCAGGGAGGCTCGGGGCGGTACGCACTTCTCCAAGGCGGGGTTGTTCTCCAGGTGCCCGCGGATGGCTTTGCGCATCATCGTGTTCTTCCCCATCAGCACCACGGCCTTCCCGCGCAGCGACATGCGGATCTGCTGCATCTGCTTGGAGCCCACGTTGTCCGCTCCCACCACGAAGCATTTCGGGTAATCATCCAGCAGTTGCTGCGGCACACGGAGCACCGTCAGCACCGCGCAGCTCCGGCCGCTCCGTGCGCTTCCCAACGCGTTTATCACGGCCGGGCGGCGCTCGGGCCCTGCCCGCATCGCGCAGCAGCCGCAAGGCGCGGCCCGGCCCCGCTCCCCCCGGCGCCCCAGCGGCACTCACGATGATTTTCATGAAGTAGTTGGACTTCCACGTCGCCCTGTCTTCCCTGGGCATCGCGGCGGTGCTCCAAGGATCGCCCGGCGGGTTTAAAGACGAGCTGTGAGCTGCGAGAAAGGCGCGGTCAGCCGGCCCCGCGCCCTGCCCGCTTCCCCACCCTCCCGAGCCCGGACTCCGCGCTCCCCCCGTGACCCCGACACCTCCGGGGCGCTTCGGGCCTGCAGCCGCCCGGGAGGCGCCGCGCGGCGCACCCACCTCCACGAGGGCTCCGGGAAAGAAGGGCCGGAGGGCGGGGCCGCCGCCTTTCATACAGCGGTTCTCGCCCAATCGCAGCGAGCCACGGGAGGGTTCTCGCGCAGCCCATTGGCTGCCCGCAACCGCCAATCGGGGCGGACGGCGGCTCCGGTTGGACGACGCGCTCGTCACTCAAGGGAGCGGCGCCGCACTACGGCGGAAGGCGCGGCGCGCTCCCTAGCGGTCGGAGGAGCGCGCTGCAACGGAGGGGGCGGCGCTGACGAACAGAGCGGCACCGGCACGGAATAACGGTACAAACTTTATTGGCGTAACTGCAAGAACGTAAATGGAAGCAAAGCGCAGCGAGAGCGTTACATGGCGGGGGGGCGACGCGGCGAGGCCCGGCAGAGCCGGTTATTGCCTTCCGAGGGCTGCGGGGCTCGGCCCGCCCGTAGCGCCGTTGCGAGGAGGCGGCACCGGCACAGCCCGGCACGGCGCTCCGCCCCCCGCGGCTCTCCGCCCCGCCCCGCAGCACGAGCTGCGCTCCCCGGCCCCGAGCCGCGCTAAGCGGCGCCCCGCGCCCGTTGGGTTGAACGGCACCGCCACCGCAGCGCTGATAGAAAAGTCGCTCTCTTTAAAATCACTTCAAAACCAATTTCTGTATAAGAGGATTAAAAGCAAATTAGATACGAATTCGAAAATCAGTGTAGAAATCTTATCAAAGACAGGATACAGTATTCGTTCCCATAGTAAAACCGGGCGTGTCGCAGAGCCCGCCCGGGGTTTGGCAGAACAGTCAGTATAAAAGTTATTGCTGTAGCATCTCTTAGTAGCACACGTGGGACGGGAGCAGAGAGGGGAAGGGCCGAAGGCTGGCAGCTCTCGTTAGCAAAGAGAGGAAGGAGAAAGAGAAAGTTAGGACTTGGTTTGTTTCCTGGCTTCTTAAACCCCTCCGCTTCTTCCCCCCCTCCCTTGGGAGGAGCTCGGGCCCTGACAGTGGGACACAGCCTGCACTCCTGCGGGGGATGGGCAGCAGTGCTGTGCTCTGACTCCCTGCACCAACGCTTCTGAAGGGGGACAGCACCCACTGCTTCCACGTGCTGAGAAGAGGCACGGAGTAACAAACCAGGAAGAACCCACAGAGTAACACCTTCATTCCTCTTAAAACAACAACAACAAAAAGTGGTATCAACTCCTTACAGTGTAATGGAACTGGAGAGACCCTTGCAGGGCCGTGGCAGCCTGTGCTGAGGCTCTGGTCTGTAAGTCACACATGCCACGTGGCTCTAGGAGCAGAGGCAGGGTGCTGCTGAGATCACGGGGTGCCCTCACTGTGCCAAGTGTCAAAACTGCTGTCTGCAAGTGTCAGGGTTTGCCCAGAGCTGACACAGGCAGAATCCTGCATGCAGAGCTGCTCCTGGCAGCAGGGGCTGAGGACAGCCTCCCCGTGGAGCCCTGGGGCTAAGCTCAGCTGTCAGTCATACACAGATACACCGTAATGAGGGGACCGAGCCTCTCTCTACTGAGACACAGCAAGGGCATTTCCAGTTTAATGGTCCGTCTCATCTCTGGATCTACTGCCTCTCTGCAGCAGCACTGAGCACTGCCACCCGCCCCCTCCCCTGCCTGGTAAGGTTTCTAAATCACAGTAATGTTCAAAGAGACAGAACTGCCACAAGGGGCGGCAGAAAGATGCTTAGCTCCCATCTATGATGCCTTTAACAGAAGAGTTTGAGAAAGCAGTTCTGACAGTAGGGCTTGTCGTTCTGTTCTTTGAAGGTTCCTTTGTTGAGCTGCTTGAGGCAGAAGGCACAGACAAAGTGTTCGGGGTGAAATTTCTTGCCCATGGCAGTGATGCAGCGTCCCGTGATGGGCTTCTGGCAGCCAGAGCACAGCGAGCCGCGGCGCTCGTGGTAATGCACCTCACAGTAGGGCTGCCCGTCGTGCTCGAAGAAGCTGCCGTTGATGAATGGTGTGAAACATTCCTGCAGGAGGAGAAAGCAGAAGGGGACAGGTTCAGCAATGAGCTGGGGACGCGGGCAGCTCACAAACCTCAGCTCTGCGGCACAAACCGGCCTCACTGCAGGCAGTGCGAGTTGCTGCCTTTCATTGTCCTGCCGTGCACCGAACCAAACTCCTGTCTGTTGAGAAGGGCCTCTGAGGAAGGGCCGAGGGATGGACAGGTACAGCCACAGGCAAGGGAAACAGCCATGGCTTCAGCTGGCTTCCCTCGCACAAAGGAAATAAAACCAGCTACCAGGCAGGAGGAGGAACACTCCTTCCCTTGGGACAGGAAACACTGCAGCACCTTCCTCTCCTTTTATCTCCTGATCTCAGCCCAGCTTCCCCACAGTGGGAACCAGGGAATGGGGACTAACAAAGTTTTCTTACAGCAAAATGTAATGAATTTGGGGCTGGTTCCAAAAGACAAAAAAGAACGTTTTCAAAAGCAGTCTCTGCAGCACAGCTGGCATTAGAGATATGCTTTGCACAGGATCCGGATTCCATTCACTGAACACAGCAGCAGAGGAGAAGCCAGATCCGAAGCCCAGACACCAACCTCTTTCCCACAAAGAAAGCTCAGCTGGGCCCCAACACAAACAAGAGCCCAGCAAACAACATGCAGAGCCACAAGCAGCTGAACACTCACAACACCGTGGTCAAACACCATTTGCCTACAGCAAGTCCAAAACTTATCCAGTGCAGACAATTAGTCCAATAAACAGCCTCCTCCCTCAGCAGTAGGGAGTCTTTTCTGCTTTGGCAAAATGGGGAAGAGAATCCTGCTTTGTGTCTTGGAAGACACCAGAGCTAGGCCCACTAAAACAAGCAGTGCGGCAGCAGGGAGAAGGAAAGCAGAACTGCATGAAAGAAGCTCAGTGCTGGCACAAAAAGCCTGGCCCTGCCTGGCCCCACGCAGCAAGCACTGCCATTTTCTGGCTCCACTCCCTACGTGCCACTGCAGGAGCCAGACAGCAATGGACAGGCAGTGCAGTGCCCTGAACAGCAGGAACCAGCAGCTCGTGATTCTGCTGCTTAATCTGGCCTCTGCCTTTTTGTTTCACTCTAGGAAACACTGGCTTGTATTTGCTCTTCTCTTGGGGCCTGTAAGAGATAATATTTGCAAGGCTCTCTGAAAGAGTGCCAAGCATTTAATCTGCAGTATTCCTGTTTATTATGCCTGTTGTATGGAGCCTGCCACTATTCCACTGACGTGCATGCTTGTCTGAACAAGGTCAGTTTCATTAGTTTATGCTGTCAGATGGAGCATGAGAGGAAGATCCTCAAAATCTGATCGTTGAGGCAAGTGCTGTAAGCTTAGAGAGAAGCTTAGCTTGTAATTGTTTAAAGGTCACAAAACATGTCTCTGTTTATCTGTGCTCTGTTGCAGAAGCCCTTTAACTGCAGCTGGGAACAGAAAGAGCAATGCAGCAAGAAGGTTTCATGTAAACAGGCAGAGGAGCCAGAAGGTGTTTGGTTGCTGACGTTTTTATCTCGTGGTGCTGGTGGTCTCTCATGACCCCAGAGATTCCTCCTTCCTGATAAGGGACCAGATGCCTGCAGGACGTGAAGGACAGGGGTCCAGCAGCCACAAAGGACCTTGGCTTTCTTACCCGGCAGACAAAGCACTCAGGATGCCACAGGGTGTTTAAGGCAGAAATGTAATTTTCCAGGATAGCCCGGGCACAGCCTCCACACTTGGGAGCAAACATGTCAAAGTAATCCTTGCGGCAATAGGCTTTGCCATCCTTCTCATGAAATCCTGCCAAAGAAGAACAAAGATCATCAGCTCCAGACCCTCATCTATGGCAGCCAAGCTCTGTGGGGTAAGCAGCGTGGGTAGGATCACCCTTCCTCTCCCCTAACACACAGCAGGCAGCTGTTTCCTGCTGCCCTTCCTGTCCCGTGCACACACATGCTCATCCTCTCCAGAGACTAAGAGAGTGAAGAGATTTCTGTGAGATCCTTCCCCCATGAACAGCTACTTCCTCAGAACTTCCATCTCCAGTATTTCCTGTCAACTCGAGCTGGCCCCTAATAGCAGCTCTGCCTTACACACTTGTCTGCAGTTCAGGAAGGAGAATGTTTTCCCCTCACATTAACCAATAATACCTTCAGGTCCAAAGAAAACTCCACACTGGGCACAGAAAAAGTGTTCAGGGTGCCACGTCCTGTCCAAAGCCGTCACCACTTTCTGTTCAGAAGAAGACACAAAGAAAAGTCACATAAATCATGGCTTCAGCTTGGAGGTGAGCAAGAGGGGAGGGAAGAACACATTTAAGTCAACACTGCCAACTGCATGCATCAAAATAGATTGTTCTTTATAGAGCTGAGTCAATTCTTCCCCATCTCTAGCTCTTTTAGACCTTCCCTATGGCATACTTTTTTTTTTAAACCCTAAAAAGACCCTGCACACTGCTTCCTCCCTTACACAGGGCCTCTCCAGCTCTCAGGACTGGCACTGGTGCTGTTACTACAGGCTACCAGCAGAAAAGAGCTGGGGAGTCATCATCAAAACAATGAAACCACATGGAGTTTCAAAGGATTACAGCTTCAGGGAAGGTGAGGGGGACCAAACCACCTCATTAATGTAAAACATTGTACCAGATGGTGCTGTTTGCCTTTCACAGCAAGGGCAAAGGCAAAACAGAAGTCCCTAAAAACACCTTTCACACAGGACACACAGATAGAGCTTTTAACAGCAAGGCCTGCAGCACCTCGTCAGCGCTCTGAACCCTAGCCAGGAACTCACATCAAGGATTGGCCCATTGCAGTAGTAGCAGCGAGGAGAGAAGAGGTTGTGATAGTCCTTCTCGCAGTAGGGCTGCCCATCCCGCTCAAAGAAGTTCCGTGACCCGATCTCCTCCTGGCAGTGGGTGCAGACAAAGTGCTCAGGGTGCCAGGTTTTCCCCATGGCTGTAACGACCTGTTGGGAAGACAGATTATGAAGGACAACTCCGTCTCGCTCTCCCCAGACCACATGACAAGACACCAGCTGGAGGTCAGCAAGAATGGCAAGTTCTACTACTCAAGTGAGCCCTGGACTGGGGTAGCATGAAAACTGAATTACCTATCATCTCAGGAGAGGGCAGTCCCTCAAGGGCAGAGTAGAGGTCACTGGAGGAGCTTACAGCGTACCTAGCCAGTGGATAAATAGAGTACTTCAGTTTCTCCAGCATCTCCAGTCTCTTCAGCCTCACGAAAGAAACCCTCCCCACTGCTCCCAGCTGCAGGCCAAGGCTCAGCAATCAGGCAGCACCTTCAACCCACCTGCCCAGCAATCGGCTTCTTGCAGGCTCCGCACACACCCTTGGCGACTGTTGCTACCCCCAGTTTGTTCAGGTCAGACTGCAGGCTTCCCAGCATGGTGTCCAGCTGACTGCCAGGCTTGGGGGTGGTGGATGGTGGGGAGCTGCTGCCGCCGGCCTTCCCCTGTGCCATGAACTGCAGGGAGGAGAAAACAAAGATTATTCAGCAAACGTTGCTGCACTTCCCAGAAATATCTCTGCTCTTGCTGCCAGTGGCACTTCTGTAGAGACAAACCAGAGGCTGCTAGGAGACAGCTACGCTCACTGCAGAAGCCTGGGAGAGCCAGGATCAAGTACACACATTCTGCCCATGCAGTGACATGCACAGACCATGGGATGTAAAACAGCAGAGCTGGCAACTAAGGATTTGACTTTCTTTTGCTGTACACACAGAAGTTACTAGCTGTTCCCAAACACTCAGTACAGTGCTCTGCAAGCCTCTGCCAAAAATCTCCCTTTACCTCATCAGTTCCTGGCCAGCTGTCAAAGCACAGACGCCATCCAAAGGGCCCCTTCCCTCTGACCTCTTTCTGTTCCTACTGCCACTCTATCCTTCTTAAAGGGATTCCTCCTCCACTCTTCATCTCCTTTTCAGCTAGATCTCCCTTTCCTCCACCTGCACTCCTTACGGACATTTCCTTTTTTGCCAAATCTCCTTTGCCCCATCAGGTGGCTCTCATCCCACGCCAAAGCTAAGCAAGTGGAAGCAGGAAGGAAATTCCCTTCAAGCTGCCTGTTGTTTACCCACACAGAGGGCAGTGGATCCACAGCAGAGCCTGAGCAGACAGGGCTGCAATGGAAACAGTGCCACGTCTGTTGTTGGACCTCTGGAAATGCACAGGGAAGGGGCTACAATCCTCATCCCAGAGGCAGCTTCTGGAACTCCACAGTCACAGTACACACGGCTTGGAATGGCTCCCCAGAGGAGAACAGGGAGAGAAGCTTTATTTAGGTTCACAACTTAGGAACAAAGTATGTGCTCTCTTTGGACACAAAGCCACTTTTACAGAAGTGTAGTAATGAGATATAGATATTTTAGCTGACTGCACAGCAGTAGCTACTCTCAGGCCTAGAAAGACCCACAGAAGTCGTATCCCCCCCCACCCCCCAGATGCTGCTCTGAAGCATGTTTTCTCCTGCCACGGAGTCAGATTAAAAACAGATGTGAAATCCACACTTGTGAACGACCCACTAGCTGCCATCATGGGCAGGGGAGCAGGACTTCCTGAGGTGTTCCAGAGCCCTGGCAGATTCTGCCCTTCCAGCCACTGGAGGAGCTCTACTCCCTGTCCTGCAGCCAGTCGTGCTTGTAGCCAACCAGCTGACTCAGTGACCAACCTTGGTTTCCACTTGTCTGTAGAAAAATTCTCATGACATACATAATTTCCCAGCCCAGCAGCACAGAAAAGCCCCAGTGTCTGGAGCCTGGAATAAACTCTCTGCCATACAGCTGTTATTTGCTACCAAACAGTTACAGTGAACATCTCCAAAGCACTCCACTGCAAGGAGACTGCTCACAGGAGAGGGACAGCAGGGCCCCATGTACACAGAGCCAGGGCAGAGTCCCAGGACAAGGTCAGGCACAGCACGAGGAAAAGGTTGGACAGAACTAAAAGAATCAAATCCTCTCTCGCTGAGCAGGGGCTTGTGGCCACAAGGCACAGGTTACACAGAGACAAATCATAAATACCATCTGGAAAGAAAGGAGAGGAGAAGAATTCAACATGTAGAAACACAGCACTTGCTGTGCCTTGCTGGTGTGGGCCATGCAGATGACCTCAGTGCAGGCCCAATGACCTGAGCACACCGCCACCACTACTTGGTTCAGCCTTCTGCCAGCTGACAAGTTTGTTTCCAACCTCCTGCACACACTGCCTGCTATTTGAAGGGGACACAGCACAGAATCCACACAAATCCGTCATGCAAAGGCCCTTCAAGCTGCCCCTTCACCACAAGACCTACCAGCACTCCGATTCCGCTGGGTGCTGTACGAGCACCAAACCATGCACTACCAGACAGCAGCTAGGATCACCACGCTGCAAGCTCCAGGAGCAGCTCCCAGCACACACGTCCACCCAAAAGCACACCATGCTGAGAGGAAACAAAGGAGCTCCTGCCTTCTCGGGGCTGGGAGGGGCTGGGGGCGCACAGGCAGCCAGCAGGTTGGAACTGCGGGTGAGGGGAGGAGCAGAGGTCACCTGAAAAGTACAACAGTTCAGGATGCAGAAGCTGGCTAGCTGCTGAGATCTGCTTGTACAAACAGCATGGCAAAACACCGTGCTGCTCACGTGTGTTACACCCTCCCAGCATCCCAGGGCTGCAACCCCTCCCTGACACGAGGCACAGAGCAGCAGCTCCTCCTCCAAATGCAACAGGGACACCTCATCACACGGGTAAGCACAGGAAGGATTGAGATTTTGCTGTCAGTTTTCCATCTCTCTTCCCATCTCATGAGAGGCTGTGGCAGGGAGAGTTGAGACCTGACTTTCAGAGCTACCTCCTTCATCTCAGAGGGAAACAAATCACAATCCCTGCTGCACAAAGGGAAGACAGGAAGCACCAACATCTCAGCAGACTGGTGCACAACCATGTAGTCTGCAGTGCTAGGCAGGCACAGCTGGCATTGATTTGATACCACTAATGACTCTGCTCTTTCATTAAGTGGTTCAGAGCCAGCCTTCACCTGAACATCGTGTTTACTGAGCTACCAAGCTGACAGCAGTGGAAAGACTGGACAACACTGTGCTTAAAATTAAATAAAAAAGAAAGCAGAAAAGAGAATCCTGCCTGCATCCGCGGGAAGAAAGCCTCATCTTCTGTTTGACAGCCAACAGAAACGACTGTCTTGGTGCTAGGGGTCCAGGTCTGGGGAGAAGAGTGCCTAGGATCTTCAGAAGGAGGGGTGCCCACAACAGAGAGCTCATGATAATCAGCACCAGAAGCTTCCCACTGGAAAAGTGGCTGGGGAGCCAAGCGGGAGGAATAGGAGGAGGCTGGACACGGAGCTGAGGTAGCTAGTGCATGGGAGGGCTGAGCTGGCAGTGGGAGGACAGGTACGTGAGAGGGAGAAGCATTAGCAGGGACTGTCTTCACAGCTTCATTGGAAGGCTGGAGCGGGGGAGAGGCTGACACAGAGACTGTCCTCCTTCGAGGGTGTGGGGATTCTGGAGGGAATACCACCTAGAGAGACAGGGAAGAAAAGTGAGTAAATCCAAAGAGGAACCAACAAGCACCTCCTGCAACAGGAAGGCTGGAAGCACAGACCAGTGAGTAACGATCTTTGCTGCCTCGTGCTCTCCCTCCTGCTCTTCTGAACCTCTCTGGTTTACATCAGAGCACAGCTGGAACATTAACCTCACTGCCACACAGCCCAGCAAAGCAAGTAAGGACAGAGGCCTCTGGTTACCATCTTTATCTAAGGGGAAAAAAACAGCAAAGAACCAAGGGACAGGGAAAACAGAGAAGGGGACCAGAAAGCTTCCTTCACTGTGTAGCTCTAAGAGCACCATCTTACACCCAGAACTTCCTGCACAGGCATGTACTGGGAAAGACAAGGCATCCCTCTCTGACAAGCCTCCCAGAAGGGTTTTCAAACAATACCCACAGGGGTATTTGATATGCAATAGCAGCAGACTGCCTAAACAGATACCATTACCAGCACCCTTAGATATCCAATTCTTAAACATGAACTAGGAACTGAGAGCCAGTTTACTTTTCAGGTCAGAAGAGGCTGAGAAGAAGGAGTTAGTTCTTCACTTCATGTTGTTTAAGGTGTCACCTAACATACACCTCCACAAAGTGCTGCCTAGACAGGAACATGCTCCAATTTCCCAGAAGTGGAAGTTCCCCTCACTTTCTACCTTCTCTATTTGCTGTCCACCATTTTGCTCTTCCCCCTGGGGTCGGGCAGTGACAATGACCCCCTCTGTCAGCCAGCCATTCTGGCTTTTCTGCTCCTCCTTTTCCTGTTTAGCAACTCCCAGTCTGTCCTGCAGCTCTTCAATCAAGCGATCTTGGGACTCGGTCTTGTGAAATATTGCAGGACCTAATTTACGCCTTGGAGAGAGGTCACGACTCATTGGATGCACATTGGAGGTTTCTTTTGTCCTCTTGATTAAAGACTTAATCTAGATGAAAAAGGCAATAGTGTCAGCAGAGAAAAGAGTAAGAGCAAGCCTCAAGATGCAACAGCACAAACTCAAGCCATTAGTGACAAATGTATGCAGGGAGAGTGATGACATTAATTCCACAATGCCAAAATTCTTCTTGGCACAGTCCAGAACAGTGACTCAGTGCAAGGAAAAACTCTGTAAGGATAACCACTGTAGCCAAAAATAACTATCTAGAAAAGGAAGGGAAAGATCACCCAGCAGAAAGCCAAGATACGAGGTGCAGCACAACCATTCCACTGAGCATTAAAGAAACTTCAGCATCACAAAGAAACACAGCAGACTTTCAGTGTGCGCCCTTTACAAGCACAAGACTCGCGGTCTGGCGCACAAAGCATACATCCAGAGCTGGAAGGAACACTAACAGGTCCAACAACAAGACCTAAAAAGGCAGAGGGACATCCTCCAGAGGAGCGAATCAGCCCTTTAACTTTTCAGAGGCCTTTATGGACTGAGCATCTGCCTTATTCCATTTAAGGAATAAAAACCCATTTCACTGGGCAGTCCCTACACTCTGCCATGTTCTGTGCTGCTGACTGACCTGCAGAACAGACCAGAGGACAAAGCAGAGGACTTAAAGCCTCCATGACATGCAGCTGTCAGTAGCGCTGCTCAGCACCACATGCTGTTAGTGTGGGTGGGCCCAGGCACACTCACACCACACACAAAACGTTAGTGCAGTCAGGACAGCCCCAGCTAGGACTCATCCTCCTCCCACATTTGTTCAGTGCCTGCCTGGCCTGATGCAGAAATCCTTTCAATGGGTGGTTTGGAGAGGCACGGCAAATCCCATTCAGCTTTCCAAGTGTTTTCAGGAGATTCTGGAGCAACTGCAGAGCTTCTGATCTGCTCATTTTCTCCATCTTCTCCAGCTTTGTTCATGTTAGCAGTACCTGCCTTTCTGGGAGTTCTCTCCCTGCCCTGCCTCTTCTTGACCAGCTCAGGACAGCCACCTACTTGGATTTCAGGTGATACTTCAGCCTCTTGCTCCTGTCCTCGCTCCACAGCAAAGCCCAACTGTTTTTCAGTGTCTGGGAAGACAGCCCACTGATCCAGGTCCACAACAGAAGGGTCACACACAGGACTCAAAATGCTGTCACCCTTTCTGTGTACTTCTGGTACGTGCTCCAGGGCCCACAGCTCATCTAAAGCTGCTTTCACACTTTTGCCCTGAGAAGGAAGAGCTGAATTATCCCTGGACACTCCCTGCTGACCCAATTCTTTAGCTGCCTGCTCCTTCCCTTGATCACTTATACCAGTGTTTGAAACTGAGATGCTTGAGAGTTTGGGGTCACTTCTCTGCTCCTTTTTCTCACTCTCTTTTGCCAGCTCCAGGCCCTGTGCCTCCACCTTAGCAGATCTACACAGCAGCTCAGCCCTGGGCACAGCCTGGGAAGTCTTCCTGGAAGAATCAGGCTTTCCAGCCAGCCTCACCAAACTTGCAGAGGCCATCTGCTCCCCACGAGTAGCAGAAACAGAAGAGACGCGTGGAGGGGGCACAGGGACCATTTGTGGCAAAGAGGGTACGCGTGGAAGAGTGGCACAGTGCCCCGAAGCAGGCCACACTACAGTGCTAATGCCTTCCTCAGCACAGAGAACTGCTGAGGGGGAACCTGCTGGCACTGCCACATCCCCGCTGTGCCTGACAGAAGGGCATCTGGAAGGGGATAGCATGGTTAAACTGGGAGGAATGCTGCTGGAGTCTGCATCTGCTGAATCGGGTTCTAGGGAGGGTTCAGGAATCAGAGACATAGTCTGCAAAAAGGAGAGAGAAGAAAGAAGGAGAAAAAAAAGAAAGATAAGAAATAAGAAACAGAGGGCAGAAAAAAGAAGCATGGTATAAAGCGTTATAACAATTGTGATCTCCCAATCAGGAGCCATGTTGATCCTGAGCCTTGCATCAGAGAAACAGGAATGAGAACAGGGTAGCAAAGAGGAGAATCAATGTGACATTGTGCTGATCTTTGCATGAGATCACAGGATGTGAAGCTGAACAGCCATCAAGATCGTTTTTCTCTGCCACCCTCTTACGTAACACCTCGTGTTCACCTGCAGTGCGATGGGGGCACGCAGCAGCTGCCAGGAAGCCAGCTATAAGCCCAGGAACGTCTGCACTGCGGGGGAAGGTCACATTAGCAACTCATGCTCAGCTACGTACATTCTATATTTCAAAGCTGAAGAAAAAACAGCAATCGATGAATAGAACAAACCATGACGTTTTCTTCTCCATGCACTAAAACTGCTCCGGTTGCCTGTGTTCACAGCAGTGAAAACAAAGCCTCAGGGCATGCACAGCAAAAGCAGATGACGGGGCTTTGCTCTACTCACTGAATCAATCTCACCTTGGAGGTGATACACAGTGAATCACAACAGCTTTGCCAGTCATTCCATGCCCTTCTAAACTTTGCTTAGATTGGCAGATGAACCTCTTCTCCTTAGGTCACAATCTCCACATTTCAATTGTAACAATACCAGTATTCATTTTAATCCAAAATACACCCTAGCAAGAGTGACACAAATTTTTTTGCTCTCCTTGGCTCAGAGGGTTTTTAAAATAAAATAAGAATCATGGATCCTCCTTTTCCTGTTTTCAGTGGCTCCTGGCTGAGCCTTAGGAGACAAACTGGCATTGCACCTTTTTCTCAAAGAGAGAAAAATCAGAACATTGCCGTAGCCAAGTTCACACAGTAGGTCAACCTAAGGCCAATGCAGAGCCCTGTCATCTTAAAAAACCTATCCAAAGTTCTCCAAATCCAACAGATATCAAGATATGCTCTGATTCTTCACCGTGTTTTCTGAAAAAGCTTTAAGAAGTTAGACCCTCACACCCTAATGTAGCAACAGCTCAGTCTTTACTTACCTGTATGGGGACTTGTCATGAATAAAAGGAAAAAATTAACCAGAACACAAACATGATCTGCCAATAGCTGGAAGAGACCTGCAGGTGACCTAAGCAGCTCCCAGGCCAAGGGGTCAGGAGCCAGCAAGCACACACACTGGTGAAGTCCCCAGGCAGTGCCATGGAGGGGCATCTTAGAAAGCAATAGGGGGACTGCAATTAATCACAGGTTGCTCCTCATTTCCAGGAGGAAATCAAGATGAAAAGAACCAGCAAGTACATTAATTAGTTACAGTAACAAGGGGATTTCCTCATATTGCCCTCCTTCCTGTATTTTGCCTAACGTGGATGTACCTGCACAAATAGGTGTTACACTATAGTTCACTTACTCAGTTTCCAGACTTTCTAAAACAGTCAGCTGTTGGCAAGGCAAGGCTGGCATTTTGCTCAGAAGCAAATATTTCCAGCATACTGAAAGCATACTAACTCCAAATTAAGAGCAAGTGCTAAATACATAACAGTAACATAACAGTTAAACACGAGCAGCACAGTGTGCAGTCAGCTGGAGTCACATTACACAGAAATGTCAGAGGCAAAAGAACCAAGTGCATTAAGTAACCTCAGTGCTGATGAGCTAGATAACCAAAATCAAATGGATTCTGTAAGCAAAAAGAACGAGCAACTCATTAAAGTGAGCAAAAGATAACAGGGTAATGTATCAGTCTGTAACAGCATCTGTTACTCTGGGCTATGACAGAAGTTAAACACTGGTGCTGCCACCTCTCCCACTGCCATCCACTGGGGCCTGCAGCAGCCACCATCTCCAGCTAATTACATACTGCACTTCGTTCCTCTGTCCTTTTTCTTGCAACCACACACAAGTCTGGCACGTGAATGACAGCCTTTTCTTTTTCACCATTGGGAAAGACCCCACTTCTCCCCCTTACACCCTGTCACTGGTACAGACTAGATCATCCTTACAGAGAAGTCAGAACCACCCATTGGCACAAATAGAGGAGGTAAAAACAAAGAAAAAGGACTGAAAGGAAAAAGAAAAACAGGATAAAGTAAAGCAGCTGTCCAAAAGCAGCCAATGACAATAATAATAAAAGAGAAACTATTACAGAAATCATGTTGCTGGTTCTGTAAGGAAAAACATTTAGACAGACAACGATCCTGAGCTCAATGCCTTTCAAAAACCCTAACACTGCATTTATAAATCTTGAGATCTCAATGCATTTCAGGTTGCTTTTAGAGTCCAAGCAGAAAAGAAGCCAGAAGGAGGGCAGTGTTACAGAAAGCATCTAGCCTCGTTCATGCAGTTTTATTGGAGTTGCACAGAACAAAAAGGCCTGTTCTGGGCAAGGATGTCCCCTGCTGCCAAAGCTCACCAGGAGCAAAGGCTGGTGGCAGCAACCACACCTTGAGCTTGCTTTCTGAGCCCTGATAAAGCAGCAGGAGGCCCTGGCACTGACAGCACGCAGAAGCAGCGAGGCAGGGTGTGCTGCCAGCAGCACAGGTGGGAACTCTCCAGCTTCACAACAGCACAATTTTTCAACTGCATGAAACAGACACTCGCTGATAGCCTGCTCTCTGCCCTAGGACCTAATATGGAAAAAGAAAAGCACCAGTAAGGCATCACTATTTGCAGTGACTAAATACGTACTAAATTAAGTCCAGAGAAAACAGCGAGTTGCTCCTTGAGTCTCACAAAGTCAAGTACGTGAGTCACAGACTGCAGACTTGAATGGAAGCCAATAAGTACAGGGCAAGCAAAGTCCCGAGGAGCATGCAGGCTTCTCAGCTGCCTACATCTTCTCAGAAAACATTGCTCAGCTCTGACTGCCTCGGGACCAAACTCAGGGGATGGAGGTTAACACAGCCAAGAAGCATCACCAAGCACTGGCAGATTCTTCCATGTGAGGAAAATGTAAGAGAGTTGGGAACTTTTGTAGGATTACAAAGCAGACTTGCACGTGTATGTAAGAAAGGCACACCCAACAATGACAACATATTAGGTATTTGCTTCTCCACCTCTCAGAACAAATTCAAGGGAATAATTCAGCAATGCTATAAGCAAAAAAGTAGAGAGAGCAAAATTATTTTGCTATGACTGTGGATAGATGAACCATGAAAATAAACTCCACAGTTAACCACCTAGTGTAAAAAGGATAGTATACCTAATTGAATAGAAATGCATTGCATTTGTAAGTTCTCTAAGTACACAGAGCAAGTGCTTGATGCTCCAGTGGCAAGTTATTCCTCCACTTCTTCTATTAGGGGAATTTTTTCGTGTGTCACTTGTGACTGAAGTAGCAGTCCTTTTCCAACACAGTACACTGATTTGCAAACAAGATCCTGAATAGTGTTTGCCATCCTTCACCCACACAAGCTCAGTCTTTAATCCTATTTGGAGCTGAATAATTGATACTGTTTTAAAATTGAAACCCCTGAAGTTTTCAGCTGCTTGATGCAAAGGTTTCAATGCTCATACCACATGCCTTTAAGCCCCAAATTCCCTCCTCAGGAAAGCACAAAGTATAAGCACACTGCTGCAGAGGGTCAGCCCATGGCACAGAAGAGCCTGGCCCCTGTCATGGAGCAGAGCGCTGCTGGCTCAAGCTTCCCTACTTCTCATTCAGTTGCAGCATAGCAAAATAATTCACCCTGCACCGAGCAGCAACTAAGCTCGTTATCTTTGCCAAATGCAGACAAAGTGCAAAATGGATGGAAAAACAGACCCCAGAATTCCCTTGTCCACACCAGCGACAGGAAACTATTGCAGTCAAGAACCTATAGCAGCACAAACACCACCAAAGGAAGTTCCACAAGACGAGAGGTAAAGCAGGCATTCAGGAAATCAGTTAAGGTCAGCAGATGTGGCCAACATGCAAGAGCCTGGGCGTGGGAAGGGATGAGATGAGGTGCGAGCTGTCAAGATAAAGCACCTTAAAGTCAGAGAGGGACGCCATCAGCTCATCCAGTTCTCGTGTGGCTGAAGAAGCAGAGATACGGGTCTGCTGCTGACTGGCGGTGACACGCTGGGGGCTGCTCACCTCCCCTTGGCTCACAGTGATTGCAGGGCTGATGAAAATAAAATATATTTATTTTTAAAGAGTGCATCTAGGCCTGGGGGAGAGCTCCTAACTGAAAGCCTCACTGGCTCCTCTAAACAAGCAAGCGTAGCAAGTGTCATCGGCACTGCTCTCCCTAGCCAGCCCTCCCACTGATCCAGCTTCTGCAACACACACAGGTCCTGTCTCTCTGCCAAGTGTAACATGAGTGTACATGCACATACATCCACCCATTACTGAACGGATCATGACCAAACACTCATCTGGACAGACAGCTATAAATCTGAGTTTAAAAAAAATGTGCCATTAGTAACACAACTCAAGTATTCCTTCATCCAGGAAGAGCTGCAGCAGATAGAAGAGCAGGAGCATCTTCAAGTGCCTGCTTGACTTCCCACTCTACAGCCAAGGGACATCTGTCTGTCACTGTCCCACAACATCTGCCCCTCCACTACACTCCCTATTCCCATAACAGCCTGCCCAACCCACTGCATCCACCAAAGCACTACTTACACTGGGCTTGGCACAGAGCTCTCCAACTCATCCAGCAGGCTCTCCACACTGGGACGCACATCTTCGATCCCACGCCCACCATTTCGCTTTGGTTTTTCTTTTGTAGGGGGTGCAGCCTTCCCCCCTGCAGAGCTGCTGCTCTCTGGGACGACATAGTGAGGTCCGGTCACGTTGGGCAGGGATGGGCTTCTGCTGACTTCATCTTTAGAACAGAGGAGCAGAGTTGTTCAGACACATGTACGTATGCAAACAAGAGAAAAGAGCAACATGCTGCCCAGAAACCCTGTGGAATCTCCATCTTTCAGAATACTTAGAACTTAGAGCACAAGCAACATGTGCTCTTACTTTGAAATTGTGAAGTTAGAGTCATTTCCAAAGTTGGCCCAGCACTGCTGAACCTCAAGAGATCCTATCCATACTAAAGGAATCTTTGTTCAGGGCTGGAGTCATCTTCCTCAGCAAGGCTGTTGGAAGGATAGCAGGCTGCTACTTTGGGAAGTAAGCTATTCACTAACACCAAATGTCTTGCTAGTCCTTACCTGCTGGGAAGCCACTGGAGGGATTATGTTGAACAGCATTCAGTTCTAGGAGAAGCCTGTCCAGTTCCGAGAGGTTGCTGCCCAGAGAGGTGCTGGTCATGGTGGGAGATGGTTCTGCAGACTTCTGCTTGTTTGGGAAGCTAGAGATAAAAGGGAAGTGTAAAACTTCTGCTTTAAGACACAGCAGAACGATGGAGGGAAACTTAGATATTAAGTTCACAGAGTTCACACAGGTACTGTGTTATTTTCAGGCTGAGGTTTTTAGCTCTGTGGGCAAAGCTGTGTGCTTTGTGAAATGACTATCCCCACAGCTGCTGTTTAGCCACATCTTCACTTGTCAGTTACAAAGAAACAGCACTGATAGAAAGGGAATCAGATCTCAGGACTCTGTGCTGCACTGTCCTACAGCAAAGAGTTAACTGTCTACAGATCCAAGATGCACAGAACAGCAGCAGAACCATTAGCTGGCATACAGGAAAATGGCCTGTTTCTGCTGACAGCACACCAGCAGCAAAAACCTCTCCTCTGAAGGAAGGGGATGCAGGGCCAGCGCAGAATGGACAAGAAGTACAAAAGTCAAGCTACCAAAGCTACAAAAGCAGCAGATTGTGTGTCACATAAAAGGCTGCCATGAGGTCTCTTTTCAAGTCCTCAAATCTTCACTTTGATGAATTTTAATCAATTTATAAGAAAGTAATCTGACAGATTTTCACGGCATTCAACACAGAAGCCTTTAGAGAGGCTTACCTACACACGAGTATATATATATAGATAGATAGATAGATAGACAGATATAACACACTGCCTGTAGTTACAGCTTATGCTATAAGGGAGATCCCATTTAGCCATGCTCAACTGCAAAGTGTTTAAAAGCAAAACAGTATCAGTGCAATGATCTGTACAGTAGCTACACTAAGAACAATCGACCCGCTGTCAATAGCAGGGAAATAATTTTCTCCTAGTTTTATTAGCGGACAAATTACTTTTAATGCTTTAGAAATTCTTATTCCTAAATCCAAAATGGGAATTTGTCTTGGGCACACATCAGTTTTCTGCTCAGAAAGTTAATACATAACAGGTTGAGCACTGTCATACCTATAGCACTAGTGACAATTATGGAACTTCATAAAGGCAGTTATTATCTTTCTCTTCAGATTGAAAACAAAGTCCACAAACACAATCTGAGAAGGGCATACTTCATCCTGGCCTAAGCACACAAGCTCCAATTCACACAAGAACCAGACCATGCCAGACTCTTTTACAGGAGGATTCAGGGCCCTAATTATCTTGATTTTGTACTAATTGCATGCAGCCCTCTGAAAAATTGTAATTACTGCCTCCATTGAGCCATCCCTGGATACTTCTGGTTCTACCCTGTAGTAGTTCTGGTTGCAAGCAGCCTTCAGCTCAGTATGAAGACCTAGGCATAGTTAGAACACTGACAGGAGAGCAACACTCATCCCCACACCTATAAAAAGGTACCCGGGACAGAGTGCATCACACGGGGCCATCAGAGATGGAGCTATGGCAGCTTCTTCCTCTCTCACCCCCATGTCAGCAGGAAGGTCTGTCTCACCACATAGGCCATCCCTGCAACCTCTCAGTGCAATAACAGCTGTCCATTAGTATAATATAATTAGTAACTGGTAACATCAGAAGTACTGACAGAAGTTTCAAAGCCTTCATGAAGAAATTTAAATGTACTTGAAAATCCAAATAATGGCACATCCTGCTAGGTGATGGGTACTGCATTCCTTGAGACAACTGACTCAAAGGCCACCCACTTCCTAAAGCATGTGGGGTTGCTTAAGAGGGGGACGGATTTGTCACTGGTCTCTGGATTGCATCCCTCAACACAACCCAGATCCTGATGGATCCTCAAACTTCTTCCACAGCTGAGCAAACTGAAGGCCCAGGTCAACCCTTTAAGTGAATGTAAAAGATAATGCAGTAGCCTCTTCCAAATGAGGTAATAGAAACCAACACAGGGCAACAGAAAATATACAGGAAGTGCAGCGTTTGTTTCCAGTTTCAGAAGGCATCCTGAGCCACAGCAGGCTCAACCCGCAAGTCAGGCTTCTCTCTTAGCAAGGACAAGGTACCTGTAGACGTGTTCCTCCTCACTGGCACGGGGAGAAGGGGAGCTGAGCCCGTCTCTAGGAGCAGAGGCACCGGAGCTTTTGGCACTAGAGCTGTATATCGGAGACTGGGACTGAGGCTGTGGAAATAAAATTAGCACTGGAAACAGGGAACACAACAAGAATATACACACTGTATTGCAACCCCACATGCTGCAGGAGAAAGTACAGCAGCAAAAACCTGTTACATAGCCCACCCAGCCCCCATCAGATGACCTACACCAGGAACAACTGTTTTCCACTTGCCTCAGATTTGCCTATGAGTCGCAGACCTGAGCTGGAAAGCCCCAGCTTGCTTCCTACAGGCTACAGGACTGATGACTAACCCTAATCCCATCACACTACCACTTTGCTGGAGCACCAACGATGGGTTTTGAGGTCTTTTCTGCTATTTGATCTGACCTCCCCTCATTTCCCCAGTCTTTAGCCAAAGTCATCCTCCCTCCTTGCTGTTTCCTCTCCTCATCGAGCCCCAGCAAACCACACACATGCTCTCCCCACCTCCATCAGCATGTGCTTACTTGCTGGTGGGCGTATCTGGATACGCTGGGCTGCCACTGGTCCAAGGGGTCAATCACAGTGCCATTCAGGGCCTCACTGGAAGGCGGCGGAGGCACCGGTGGTGGCACAGCAATCTCCTGGTACGTGTGGTTTCCAGTTGGGTAGGAGTAAGGCGTTTCCTCTGTTAGAAACACTGGTCGCTTAGAGATATGCGAGGTGGTGGATTCCAGGTCTGCCAGTAAGGCGTCTGCAGGAACGAAAATTAAAACACACGGGTATTGTGAAATCCCAGACAACAGATTCTTTTGCCTCGTTCACAATATTCACATCAGAAAGTCTTCAGGAAGTTTTCATTTAAGGTCATCTACCAAATGTGCTGTGAGTTGCTGCTGCACCTCGGATTTCCAGTACAAAGAAAGGTATCAGAGCAGTCAGAAAAATTGTGTCAGATCTTTGTCTTAAATGGAAAACCATGCAATAACTGCAACCTGCAGTCGCACAGCGTACGCTTTGCAGAAGAGCAGCCTAGGAGAAACCTGCCTAGAGATGGACTTGCAACAGGATATTGACACAGGCTAATTACAGGCCCCACATCATCATGGAGTCATTTAACGTGGCCGCAGGCACTGCTTTTTGCAGGAAACAAGCTCTCGGGAGGGGTTTTCTCCAGAGCTGAAGGCACTGCAAGAAGCATGCAGCTTTCAAATGAGTCTATCACCGCGGCAGAAGGAAGATGTGCTTCAGCTTTCCTAAGAAGAATACTCTGCACATATCACAGTTAATGAGCTTCCAGAGCCTGCCAGGTGAATGCAATTTCTTCTCCTGGAAATAATTAGCTTGCTGGGTGGAGCCTGCTCACAGATTCCTGAAGAGAAGAAAAAACTTCCACTCGCTAGAAACACTGGCGCTCGTGCCAGGCAGAGGAGCCCGTGCCATAAGGTTAGCGCCTCTCAAATCTTAAAGCAGGAAAAAACACACACCCTCAATAGCAGGAGGAGAAAACCCACCTTTCGCCTTCCTGGATTTCCTCCTGCAAACTACTCTCCACCCATTCCAAGCCCTGCACTGCTCTGCTGTGACTCACAGGCAAATCCCAGCCTGCTGGGTTTTCTGTCCTGCGATTCCACCCCGCTGAGCCGACTGCAGACCAGGGTGGGGGAAACTCCTGCGAACAACTGCAGGTCTGCACTGCACACACTCCAACAGAAAGCCTTGCTGGCCGCCTGCCCAGCTCTCCAGTGAGCTCGAGCACACACTCTTTAAGGCCATTAGAGAGGAGCCGGGCTGCTGGGGACGGCAGCGCTCTCCATGACAAGAGCATCACATACCTGGTAGGACCCTGTGGTGATGCGCAGTTCAGCCAGACACCAGCGACACGATTTGGGCAAACCTGGAGGAGAGGCCCTGGGAATGCCCCTGCCCCGTGCACAGCCCCAGCTGTCACAGCAGTCTCGGTGTGCAGGAGCTGCCCTTCCCCCATGCACAACAGGGAACTCAACTCCCAGATTGTGGGGCTGAGGACTGAGCCCAGGCGGAGGGACCCACAGCCTCCTGCAGGCAGGGTGGCAGGGAGCTGAAGTGACCAGGAGACAGCAGAACAGGAGCTAAACCAGCTCACCCTAATGGCTGCCTACCAGATCCCAGGGGCTGGCACCCGCCAGCCCAAAGCCACTTCCTCAGCGCAGCCAAGGCACTTAGCAAGCCTCCAAAAAATATATTAAAGGGTCAAATGGAGGACAGCATCATCGCATTACAAGACAGGAAGGTACTGCTTTTATATTCAACTCTTCCACAAAGCAAAGCATCATAAAAGAAAAAAGAAAAAAAAAGAGCAGCTCTGCCCACAGATAACAAATTCGCTATTAGCAAATTAAATACTGAGTTAATTTAACTCCACACACCTTTCATTTAGCCAGAAAGATGCTCCAAAATCATTTCAACCAAAGGCGTCTTCCCAGAGGGACCAAAATAGCCCAGGAGCAGATTCTCCTAAGGGATACAGCTTGCTGCAGCTGGGGAAGAATGAGTTTGATCTTCTTTTTAAGCAAAAGAGCAGCTGGTGGATTCCACAGTGAAAGGCACAGACATACCTCAGGAGAACGCTGAAGAGCTGCAGTTTTTTCAGCCTGGTCCTGTGGCTGGAGGTTTTGTGCACACAACCTCCAACAGAAGTGCTACCCAAGAAGGTGTGGCTTTTGCTTTTCCCCACCAATGACAAAAGCAAATCAAACTCTACCAGGAAGTACAAGTCTCATGAGGTTGTATGGCTCGTCCAGCCCCGTATGGGGACCCAAGTCGTATTTCCACCCCCAGCCCTCCCTGCAGGACAGAAGATGTGACCATCTCACCACACAGTTTGCCTCCTCAGCTCAGCACCCTCTGCTGAACGGTTCCTTGGGCAGAAACACAGCTCTTTTTTTACTAACAGCAATGAAGGGAGCTCAGCTAAATGGAGTGGTTTATTCCAGCAAGTCTGCAGGCGAGGGGTCTGGCAGTGCCAGGAGCACTCTGCTCTCAGGCTGCGAAGGAGTTAAGGAGACACTGCAGTTTAATGATTAACTTCCCCCATTCCCTCCCCCTTCCCAACTTGAGCAAACAAGGCAGAACTGAGGAACAGGAAGCAGAGGGAGGAGAAAAGGCTGGAGAGGAATCGCGCTGTTGGAGGGTTACTGCAACTGCTCTCAACTTCCCAAATGATGCCACAGCAGCTTCAGGAATGCATGCACACCTCGCTTCCCCTGTGGCACAGGATCCCTCACTCTCTTTGCTCCCCCCATGTTCTGCAAGGCCCCTCTCCCTGTGCCTGTCTGACGTGCCCAGAGCCGGGTTGCTCCTCCCTGAGCTCGCTGCCACGATGGAGGGAAGCTCTTCTCCACCCACAGCCGTCCCCATTTCTCTTTCCAGCCACACGTGTCCTTTCCTGGACCAGTTCCAATTATCAGAACACAACATGAGGCAAGGGAAGGAGCTAAGAAGGGAGTTCTACTGATGGAAAAAAAAGAGCCATTGCTCCCTACCTTTCTCTCACAAAAGGGATCTCAGGGACCAGACAGCCCTAACTTGGATGACTGTAACAAAGGTGCTGTGCCTTGTGCAGCGCTGTCACTGCAGCGACTGCTCCACAAATAGAAATACTCAATTCTTAAACAGAAATATTAAAGGCTCTATTGATTTCTCAGCTAATGAAGTGCTCCTTCCCAAGGCGACTCTATGGCACAGGGCTGCAGGAGGCGGCCATCAGCCACTCGGTGCCACACAGCCCATAGGGCACACCAGAACGGAGCAGTGCAGCCGTCAGAGGGCACCACCACAGCCTGTAAGGATGGAGCAGGAACCCCGGGTGGCAGCGGCTGGGTTGGCACTGATGCACCTCACCAGGTCACCTACAGCCTCCTCCTGCTTTCGGCACACTGAAGCCTTCTGTCAGCACTTCTGCACTAAGGAGGGGGTGTGGAAGAGCAAGGGACGCGATACCAACAGAGCTACTGCTGCATCACTGCAGTCACAAAGCCTCAGCTCACCATGTGCTGCATCCCTGGAGGTGTCCAAGGCCAGATTGGATGGAGCCCTGGGCAGCCTGGTCTGGTATTAAATGGGGAGGTTGGTGGCTCTGCCTGCAGCAGGGGGGTTGGAAATTCGTGACCGTTCCAACCCTGGCCATTCTGTGATTCTGTGCACACAGCACACCTCAGGGCACACCACGTCTTGGCACCGCTCAGCACAGCACCCTGCAGATGTGGGAGAGGCACAGAGGAAGAGTTTTCTTCCCTCCACCACAGGACCCAAAGCTTGCACACACAAGGGAAATCACACTCCACCAGAGGGTTGCCCAGCCCACATCCTGCCTGCTGGGGGAAGACAGCTGTGTTCACCTTCAAGTGACATTTCGATGCTGTTTCCTGGGGAGGTGGGACAGTTAAAGAGTGATATCATGATTGATAATTTACTACTAAACAGCACTCTGAGACATCTAGAGGTCTGGGCACGTTTGACTCTCCCTTGTGCAAGAAAAGCCATTATTATCTACAGGGTTCTTGGGATCCTGGCCTTCCAATCCCACACTGCAGATGCATTAAGTACGGATGAGTGGCTCCTAACACCGACTGCACTGCTGCCAGCCTCATCAAAGCCCTGCCCATCTCTCAGCCTGGGACTGAAATTGCAGCACAACACGCTCTGCAATGTTAGAGGATGGAGGAAAAGGTAACTGATGTCCAGTGCACTGAACTCTCCACAAAAAACCCTCACACCAAGACAACCAGCAAGACGAAGGAGCACAGCAGTACCTTAGGGGAAGTCCCACCCATCAGTTCAAGTTGCACTGAGAAGAGCACTTATCTCCTGCATGGCCCTGTGCAACACCTCATGCATTCCCAGCACAGGATCCTGCACCATCCCTGCGTGCCAGCACCTGCTGTCCTCTGAATGCTCTGAACCATGTGCAGCCTCAGGGCACATTCCTCGGTTTCATCGGATAAAGAGCAGTAATGCCCACCTGGGGTCACAGCACAGCCTCGAACTGATGGCTAACAGGGGACCCTTTGTACTGATGAGCACAGCAACTCCCTTCTCTATAAATGTGAGCTGCACTCAGCCCTGTTTAATAGATGGTAAGGTAGTTAGAAAAGATGCTGACATACATCTTCCTGTGTGCAAAGCATGCTGTTGGGGCACTCCCCCCCTGTGCCTTCCATGCACATCAGAAATGCTCCCAGACTGAAGTGTGCCTCCTGTTCAGCGGTGCAGAACACATCACAAACCAGTGCATAACAAGGCACTAACAAATTCCCATCTGCCCATCAGCAACAGGTAAATTTGCTTTTGCTGATTAAAGAGAAGCCTTCCATACTGAGTGTCCAGCATGACTCCAGGCTCAGAGGGCTGGAAACAAACCTCAGCACAAAGATGCCAGCATTCATGCCACAAGAGAGAAAACAACCTGGGCTTTCCACATGGAGTTCATGGCTGAAGACGAGCCATTAAGCCGTGCTGGCACTGCACATTGGACCATCACCAGTGCAGCAAGCACATCAAAAAGATGATGGTCACACTTTCTCCTTCTTCCTACCTGCTGGGAAGGAAACAGACACGCGGCTGAGGCAAGATGCTTCCAGTGCTCCACATATGAGCAGCTGAAAGCCACTTATACACATCCATCAAACCACACACCGCCTGCAGCTCTGCTTCAAACGAGACATCTGGAAAGCAAGCCATGCTAGAGATGGGATTCTTCACCCGGCCACCACATGGAGCCCGTGCTGCAGCGTTCAGGCATAGTCCCACCTCCCAGCATCACCCTGCCACGTGTCCCTGACAGCCCAGGCACGGCACAGCAGGACATGAGGGTGAGATGCACCAGCACGTGCTGCAACGCTTCACCCAGCGCAGTGCAGTGCAGGTGGCTGCAGCTCTGCCATTCCTCCCCACACACAGCCAGAATCACGCCACGTTCCCCTAGGTTAAGCAGCAGTAGATTTGCCACTGACTTGGCTTATTGAAATAGAAAGCAAAACAGCTGCAACTACTGGTGTAAATGAGGACATGGACTACGTGTCATAGTTGTGTCCCTCAGCATAAGACCAACTGCAGATCCCCATATGCAGAATGACAAACCATTCTCTAGCCACTTTTTCTCAATAGCTTAAGATGCTAAATTCAGGTCCTAGATTTCTGCTGTTGCCTTAAAGAGAATGAGGGGAACTGCACATGCAGAACCAAATCCTGAGCTCCCACATTCATCTGAGCCACCTCTTTGCAAAATCCTGGAATCCAAACATGAAAAGTCTCCTTAGGTTCAAGTGAGTCTTCCCTTGCTCAGCTCCAGCAAAGCCAGCTCACATACAGGGAGACAGCTCAGGGCAGTAACCCAACCCCTGGCAAGACAGATTTACATTGTGAGTAACTGCAAAGGAATGGGGAGCTTGGGTATATTTATCCTGCTAAATGGCCTTTCAGAAGAAACATG